AGCTCAGCGCAGCATCCCCCGCTGACAATCACACTGCACAGCACAGCGCAGCATTCCCTGCTGACAATCACACTGCACAGCTCAGCGCAGCATCCCCCGCTGACAATCACACTGCACAGCACAGCGCAGCATTCCCTGCTGACAATCACACTGCACAGCNCAATCACACTGCACAGCTCAGCGCAGCATCCCCCGCTGACAATCACACTGCACAGCACAGCGCAGCATTCCCTGCTGACAATCACACTGCACAGCACAGACAGCACTGAAACTGTGGACAGAGTCATTTTCACCATGCTAGGGATACTGCTGCTGAATGTAGGAGAAACAGCCTGAGCCCAGCATCAGGCCCCATCCATCTTCCTAGCACTCACCCAGTACAGGGCAGAGGCAGGCAAACGCAGTGGGTGGGACGCCAATCCAGCACAGGGCCCACAATCACAGATGCTCGCACACACACTCACACATATTCAGACACTATCACACACGCTGACACACGTTGACACGTACTCACACGTGCTGACAGACTCACTCATTGAGTTTATTCTGTACCTGCACTATTGCCTCAGGGTATGAAGGACTGGTACTCTCACCCCACCATACTGGAGATAATTTGACATAAAACTGCACAGTCATGCTTAAAGGGCACATTAGGTCCATTTGTGATGGTGATGGTAGAAGGTCCTGTCCACTCATCTCCATCTCCTGCCAACAAAATGAGCTGTTTTTCTGTGACACTGACAAACGGCCGGGCATGAGCTTACTTACACATACCTAGCAGCTACTCTGACACGGAGCATCTGCTCCTGTGGGTGAGGGACAGACAGGGAGGAAACTGGGACTTCTGGACAAAGAAAGTGCGGCTTATCTTCACAGGCAGAGACAAAGATTAGATTAACGGCAGTATTTGTAAAAAAAAAAAAAAGAATCAGGCAGAGAGAGGAAGCCTTGTTAATGTGTCTGCAGAAGGCCTGAGCTCATTAGAAATGTCTGACCCTTTTAGGGAGGGAGATATATCTGAACTGGGCTTTTCAGACTCAAAACATAGCCTCTCAAGATTCCTCCACATATTTCAAGTCATCTGTAAACTTTAAACCGATTAGGTCATTTCCTCTACAAGGCTGGATACCATGAAAAGCTCTCCCATGCAGCAGTCTGAGTTAAAACAGCCCAAACACAACAAAGGCTCCCTTCTGGCCTCTAGTGGATGTATCAGATACTACATCAGAATTTCCTTCATTACAACAGTAAGATTTATGACCTAGGAGGCAAACGTTTGCCCTTTGCAGAGGAGCAGTGATAGAGTCCAGTCCCTCATCTTTTATTACTTTATGGCACCTTTTACAGCCTCCTAGGAAAGAATATTCAGTCATTGTAAATCAGGGGGCCACAGTCAATGAATCTGCTGCAAGATCACGTGGAAAAAGCAGCAGTTCCTCTGCCCTGTAATGAAGGTGCAGAAAGATGAGGGCGGTGGCCCCCGGCAGGGCAAAGATGAGGGCGGTGGCCCCCGACAGGGCAAAGATGAGGGCGGTGGCCCCCGGCAGGGCAAAGATGAGGGCGGTGGCCCCCGACAGGGCAAAGGGGACGACTGTGGCCCCCGGCAGGGCAAAGATGAGGGCGGTGGCCCCCGGCAGAGCAAAGATGAGGGCGGTGGCCCCCGGCAGGGCAAATATGAGGGCGGTGGCCCCCGGCAGAGCAAAGATGAGGGCGGTGGCCCCCAGCAGGGCAAAGGGGACTGAAACCTACTTTGGTTACAGTGACCCACCAATAACTCCCACTAATAAAAGATGAACGTTTTTGTCCTTTGTATGGTACGACGCTCCAAACAAAATCTCATTGTACTTGCATAATGACAATAAAGCATCTCATCTTAATTTTATCTTATCTTTATTATTTAATAAAATATTTAGAAAGATTAACATTTCAGGTTTATACAGTACAGGCTTTAAAGGAAGAGCAGCAGAAAGACACGATGGCATGCAGGGCTGTGTAGATGGGGGGGGGGGGGGCGATGACAAACATATATAAAAACCTAATTTTACATAAAAAGCTTAGGGGGCTAAAGGCCTAAAAACGCAGGACTGCAATTAGCAGCTTTACATGCGCTTGTAGATGTAGATCAGCCTGTTGCAGTTGCCGCAGTAGTGCTCCACATCCTTGCAGTCGTCCACGCAGAAGGGAATTAGGCAGCAGGGCCAGCACCTGGGGGGGAGACCACAAGGCCTGAGATCAGTGCAGGCACCCACCTTCCCAGCCAGACCATTCCACTCACACTCATCCAACTGATCCAGAACCAGCTCCCCTCCACCCCCAACCCTGCACCCTCCCCCGTGCGCTACAGGAAACACAGCAGTGCACTTGCTGACATTCACTTATACTCTATCGCCAAAAGTATTGGGACACCCCTCCACATCATTGGTTTCAGCTGTTCCAATCACTTCCATAGCCACAGGTGTATACCATCAAGTACCCAGGCATGCAGACTGCTTCTACAAACATTTGTGAAAGAATGGGTCACTCTCAGGAGCTCAGTGAATTCAAGCGTGGCACCGTGATAGGATGCCACCTGTGCAATAAGGCCATTTGTGAAATTTCCTCACTACTAAATATTTCACGGTCGACTGTTAGTGGTATTACAACAAAGTGGAAGCAATCGGGTCTAACAGCAACTCAGCCATGACGTGGTTGGCCACGTAAAACCACAGAGCGGCGACAACGCATGCTGAGGTGCACAGTGTGCAGAAGTCGCCAACTGTCTGCAGTCAATAGCTACAGACCTCCAAACTTCATGTGGCCTTCAGATTAGCTCAAGTGTGTAGAGAACTTCATGGAATGGGTTTCCATGGCCGAGCAGCTGCATCCAAGCCGTACATCACCAAGTGCGATGCAAAGTGTTGGATGCAGTGGTGTAAAGCACGCTGCCACAGGACTCTGGAGCAGTGGAGACGTGTTCTCTGGAGTGATGAATCATGCTTCTCTGTCTGGGTTTGACGGTTGCCAGGAGATCGGTACTTGCCTGACTGCATTGTGCCAACTGTAAAGTTTGGTGGAGGGTGGATTATGGTGTGGGGTTGTTTTTCAGGGGTTGGGCTTGGCCCCTTAGTTCCAGTGAAAAGAACTCTTAATGCTGCAGCATTCAAAGCCATTTTGGACAATTTCATGCTCCCAGTTTTGTGGGAACAGTTTGGTGATGGCCCCTCCCTGTTCTAACATGACTACGCACCAGTACACAAAGCAAGGTCCATAAGGACATGGATGAGTGAGTCTGGTGTGGAGGAACTTGACTGGCCTGCGCAGAGCCCTGACCTCAACCCGACAGAACACCTTTGGGATGAATTAGAGTGGAGACTGCGAGCCAGACCTTCTCATCCAACATCAGTGCCTGACCTCACAAATGCTCTCCTGGACAAATGGTCAAAAATCCCCATAAACACACTCCTAAACCTTGTGGACAGCCTTCCCAGAAGAGCTGAAGCTGTTATAGCTGCAAAGGGTGGGCCGACTCCATATTAAAGCCTATGTATTAAGAATGGGAGGGATGTCATTAAAGTTCATGTGTGTGTAAAGGCAGGTGTCCCGATACTTTTGGCAGTATAGTGTAGGTGAGGGGGGAGGGGTAACGGAAACTGAGCCCACCATTGTGATGGTGTGTGTATGTCACTGCCGAGTGGTTTTCGAGTTCCGCTCTCTCACTTAGTCAAGCTCCCCCAAGTAAGCCGGGTTTGAGTCACTGAGGTAAGTTAGTCCTCATGCTTCCCAAGTACAAAGCCCCCAATCTGTTCTCGCCAGCCACCTCCCCCCCACCCCCCAAGCACGGCGACTTTACCCGAAGAGGCAGAGACCACCGCTGATGAGCCAGGTGAGCAGGCCCGTGCTGTGCACCGTCCTGGTGACCACCAGCTGCTGGCAGTGCGGACAGGTGGTCTGTCCTGGTACGGCTGTCAGGCCATTGGCGACCACCACCACCTGGGTCACTGTAGGGGCACATGGATGCACTTTCAAATACATGCTGGCAGCCTAAAGCCCTGGACCTGAAAGGGGCCTTGGTGTTGGACCCTAGGCGATGGCCCCTAACCCAGTCCAGCTGGTGTGGGGGGTGAATAAGGTCAGTCTAGGCAAGCAGCACGCTGGGCATCAGCTGGTCAGAGAGCTGTGTCTGTACCTTTAAGGTGGCTGGTGGGTCTGTGCTGTTTAACATTAAACACAGTGCTTTAGTGCTGCCATTCATGTCATCATAGAGAAGAGGGTTAGTAAACAAACTATCTGGCTCCAGACGACTCATAAAAAGGTAAGAATCAGGCCGGCTGCCCCGCAGCTGACATGCATGGTTCCCGTTCCTGCCCCATACAGACACTGGCAGAGTGGCATCCCCTTTATCGTGGGTCATGTGACAGAGCTGCATCACGGCTACTGCGCAGATGCATGCTGTCCGCCGAAATGGGCCCCGGCGCACCGGGATCCGTGAGAAGTGGTATCGCGGCGCGATAAGGCACATGCCACAAAGGTTAACTGTGGAAAGTGAGCGGGGCACATGGATAGCTGCAGCATTGCACGGGCCAGTGACATCACTCGCACGGGGGAGGAGCTGCGGAGACGACGTAACTTACCCACTTGAGTTAGGGGAGGGGCAGGTGGGTTGGCGGGATACTGAGGAGGGTACATGCCAGGACAGGGACCTGGGACAGAGGTGACAAGGTGTCAGGAAGGATTGGCTTTGGTTCGGGGTGAGGCTGCACTGGGATGCCGCCTGCACTGGGATGCCGCCTGCACTGGTTCCGCTCATATCACTGCTGGCTGACTTCTAAATATACATTTACAGTTATGGCTGCCAGAGGCCCAGCCTCAGAGCTGATCGTGACCCTTAGACTGAAACCTCCCCCGTCGACGGGCTTGGATGTGTGAGCACAGCTGCCACTGCCCTCTTCTGGATACTGCAATTGGGATGTTGAACTGGCACGCTGGGGCACACAGGCCCATCACTCACCTGCTTGGTAGTAGCCAGGCTGGGGCCCAGGCGGGATCCCTGGGTAAGGGGGTGCAGCCATGCCTTCGTAGCCAGCGAGGGGGGGGCCGGGGTATGGGGGAGCCATGTCCATAGGTGGTGCTGATCCCTTCTCCATGCTGTTGGGGGGCTGTGGGAAACACAGGAGAGAGCCCAGGATGTAAGCGATAGGACCAGGCTGACGGAGGCCCCGGGGCCCTCAGCAGACAGCGGGGGCCCTCATCTGGCTCGGACTGAAACCAGCTAACCACACCTCTCAGAGGGAATCGACTGCCATGACATTCTTCCACTAAGAGGAATCACCTGTACACAAGAGTGAGCAGCCTTTTATCCAGAGGTGGTGGCAAAGGTCTTTCCCCTTTCAGGATTTCACGTCCTTTTCATCAGTAGAAGGGGAATTCCGTCTGAGGGAGGGCGAATGTCGGACAATGAGTGGGCAGCCTGCCAGTGAGCGGGTACCGAGCACAGTATGAGACGGGACAGGGACGGACAGCACCAAGGGAGGATACAGGGCCTGTATTTCAGCCACTCTCTCTCCCCACGGATGACAGAGCAGACCTCTATTACCTGCCCCTACCACATTAGCTTATGTTTACCGGTACTTCCTATTCAAACTTAAACACGTCAGGAGCTGAACTTTCGATCTATTGTTCCGCTGCTGCCTATTGTTTGGCTTGCATTAAGCATTGTGCTTCATAAAGGCTGCCTAACCTAAGTGAATCAACACAATTTAACGCGAGGGGATGGGCTGGGGGTGATGGTCAGAAACAGGATATACAGAGTCGCTGAGTTACCAAGCAAGCGCTCGAGGGTGGGCTGGTCAAATCGCCGGAATAAATAAATTATGGCCAGATAACGCCGGAGAAACGGCACAAGAGCTCTCACGGAAAGAGCAGAAAAGAACTGAGAACAGCGCACTGGCCGCGTAGGGAGGGGTGCATAGCACAACAGAGAAGCGGATGTATGTCCCAAAGCCTCGATCTACTTTTCTTTTTACTTTAATCAAACGTTAAAAGTAGTCCGGCTCTCGAGAAATCCAACAGTCCTTCTCCGCTCGCATCTCCTACGGCTGAATGCGGTGTTACCGCGTAAGACGCGCCGTTTATTTCACTGATCTTGCCTTTTAAAGCGCCAACGCAGTTGACAGGCATTACTGAAGCAGTCAGTGTAGCCCCCTTTCCAAGAGGCCCCTTCCCTCACCGCCCCCACCTCCCGTCTCCGTTCCCATCACCGTCCCCATACCACGATCGTAAGGATCAGTCTTACCTGTGCGTTCCTAATAGGGCTGCAGCCGAGGGAGGGTGTCGCGGCCGTCCTGCGGGGAACCCAGGAGCTCTGAGTAACCTGGGTTAGGTCCGATTCAACATGGGGGAGGAGCCATGACTTCCAGCATTCAGACAGCACTCCTACCAAGCAAGTCCCATAACATATTTTAAGTTTACATTTATCTCTATAAATGGCAAAGAATAATAGCCAGACATCAATGTGGGTTTGCATTTATTTAATATTGAATTTAAACGAAACTAAATTTTGTTAGACATCTGCTACCTCGTTTTGTGACATTTTTTCGTTTCGTTTTCACATGGGGAATGTTTCCTGTAATTTAATTAGTCGCATTATAAAAAGTCAGACATCATGCACCTTGTACTCCCTCAGTGACACACACGCGATACGTTAATGTTGTAATAACCACAACTCAGGATGAGAAAGTCACGCGCATTTCAAAATAATCTTATTCTGAAGAATTGTGCAGCTTGCGACACAAATCACTTCCTTCACAAGCATTCAAATAATTCCAGGAATTTAGTTAGCTTATGAATATCTTTGTTTGTGTTCTTACACTAGGGGAATATGCAAAATGCCGAGATGGGTCTGGGGCAGGATTCAAATGTACAGCTTTGATGCTGTAAAGCGATAGTTTGGCTCATCCCGCTGTGTTGATGTAGCGCGTGCATGACAAGTCATTTGCGCTCCCCTTCTACACGGCGCCCTCGCGCACTTCAGCAGCCATTCCGGGCCCTTTGTACGTACGATACCTGCCACGATCGCCCTGGGAGCTGCACCCTGGGGGCTAACAATCGAAGTTGTTTTGCAAGTATTTTATGTAGAACATTCCATCTGTACATGTGCCGCTGATCCTGGTCATGGGGTGGGTGGGGGAGGAGAGAGAACGGAAAAGAAATAGAAAGAAAGAAAGAAAGAAAGAAAGAAAGAAAGAAAGAAAGAAAGAAAGAGATTGGAACAATTATTAATCACCCAGGAACAATGGTAAATGGAAAATGCATGGGTGTACTCATATACAGTATTTAGAAACTTATATTACGAATCATAGCTATGACAGATAAGGAATTAAACCCATTGCAGTATAAGTGTGTGTGTGTGTGTGTGTGTGTGTGTGTGTGTGTGTGTGTGTGTGTGTAAATAAATAACTGAGCATGCAGATACAAAAATAATCCTCTCAGTTACATTTTGCATTGCATTGATCAATACCTTTCTATAGAGACGATCTGGTAGAGATGGCAATTTCGGCACCCAGGATCGATCTGTTCCGAAGACGTCCGAAACTTCTGATCGCGATACGGAGTTTACGAAATGTTTCGAAACATCAGTCACTTGACCGCCGTGTCATTGTTCACGGCGAGAATAAAAACCTATATAAAAAAAAAACCCGGAAAAAATCGGTGCGTAGGTGTTTGCGGCGTTGTTAGTTTGAGCGAGTAGTTTGGCGATTATTATGATTTTAAGTCAAATTGTATTAGTGAAACAGGTCAGCAGTTAGTGTGATTTAGGCATAAGTAGGCCTATAGTGAGGTGTAATATCAAGGTTTTGCTTAGATTCAGTTAGAAACATAAATAAAAAATCTAGAGTACGCATAGACACATAGATTACATATACATATATTAACATTGCTAACATAGACAAAGACTGTTGTCTGAAACTGCGTTTTTGCACTGTTCTATTCTATACAAATTAATTAAAACTAAACCTGTTCAACATACACAAACCTAGATAGAATGCGTATTCTAACCTCAGTACCTAATTATATTACTATGTACACTCAATACTCGGATGGTATGTAAATACAGAAATTATGTTTTAACAATACACAAGCATGGGAATAAATCATCTCTATAAATGATATAAGACCCAATTTAGGTTTTGATTGACTGTATTGCCTGGTGCATACAAACATGCAAATAATGCAGATAATGCCAAATAGACAAGGTACGAAGACTGTACACATGGCGCGAGCAAAGTAAACACACTGCAGCAGATTTAAAAAGTACATAGTACACAAATGGATGTAAAATCTTGAGGAGCAGAATGTGAGACTAAACGTGAATATTTAAAGATGAGAATAATAATCATCTGCAAATAAATTATGTGCAGCTAGAACACAAGGCACCGGATTGTATTATAACAAGAGAGGATGCTTCCTGACGTACTGTATTATGGCTATGGATGGGGAGTGTAACGTGTGGAGAAAGTGTGATGTCGGTCACCAGTTGTCTGACGGCTTCGGGCAGCGATAATCCCCGGTAGCATTTTTAGCACAGCATGGTGGAATCAGCCGGTGGCTAAATATGCTCCATTATAGAGGACACTGAAGTGGACGTGCAGACTTGTTCATAATATTGCTAACATCCGCTTCTCTGCTTCTGATATTATTTAGTGCAAGAGAGTTTTCGCGACCATACAGAAGAGACATTAATAATCTAAACGTTTTTATGATTCGTACTAGTTGAATTACGGTTGGCAAAAAGTTATCACACGCTAATTGCAGATATAGGATACCTATGACAAAATATAAAAATAAATTATATTGTATTATGCACATTTTTGACAGTTCGAGCTTCGCGACATTCGAAACTTGCAGCAATAGATTTTTATTCTATTTTATTTGCCATAGCTGCATTTCCTGGTTTTGCCAGCAGGTCCGTTTAATTGAAATGGTAATTTACAATTCCTGTCCTAGCTCAGAGTGTCCTCCCTGACATGGATTATCTGGTCACCCTATACCTTAAACACCGATATACAGTAACAGGTGTATCAGCCTAATATATCCATAAGAATCTTTCTTTTATGTTTGGGTTTCTTCTATTTTGTAAAAGTCTCATTGGCATACAGTTGTGTTTAGCACAATATGCGCTATATTTTTGAAAGTTGTACTGTGAAGGTTTTGAATTCTGAATATCTAGTACCCCTTCAAGGTGACATGGCCCAGCCAAGACACAATCTGAAATAAAATGATACTCTCCGCACATTCAAGTACGGCTTCTTGGCTGAATATTAAAATAATAAATGTGAAACTCCGAATGCATGAATGAGAGTTTCAAGCATTAATGGCCAAGCAGGTGACTTTCTTCACTCCAAACACGCGTCACTTCCGTGGGCTTCCGGCGGGATTCCCCAGACGTTCCCTGCTGCTCGTGTGTGTGTGACAAAAACAAATCATTAATTTACTTTGCACTCCAGAAGCATTTGTTAATTTTAATGACCGTGCTGAAAAACGAAAGTTAATATTGAAATACTTGCGAAAAATAGAAGTAAAGCTTCTTCTCAAACTTCCATCTATACCGTTAAAATCCCGCAATAGAACAGATCGCCGCATCTGGGGCTTCAGGCAGACGCCATTCTTGTCGATGTACGTATTTGAACAAGAACAAGATGAGATATGTGAAATTCCTATGTGCCTGTACTTGTACTGGTACAAATGGAATAATAAGAACATAAAAAATTTACAAACGAGAGAAGGCCATTCGGCCCATCAAGCTCGTTTGGGGAGAACTTAACTAATAGCTCAGAGTTGTTAAAATCTTATCTAGCTCTGATTTAAAGGAACCCATGGTTTTAGCTTCCGCTACACTAGCAGGAAGACTATTCCATACTATAACTACACGCTGTGTAAAGAAGTGCTTCCTCAAATTTGTTTTAAAATGTTCTCCCGCTAATTTCCACTTATGGCCACAAGTTCTAGTATTTAGACTAAAACCATAAAGCGCATCATTTCATCATTCATTCAAGTATTTGCCCATTAAAGCGATAAACACGTTTATTGAAGTAATATTCCCGCGTGTGCATCTGTAGATAACATTTTTAAACATTTTTAAAGTTTAATACACCAGTGGATGGATGGATGGATGGATGGATGGACGGACGGCTATCGGACCGCTGGGCAACCGTATCGCGTCCTTGGTAACGCGGGATCCTGGCAACTGAAAGCAAACACATAAAAGAAAGTGGCACCACTGACCCACCGACAGTCCGGACTAAATTTCACCTTTTTAGAATGACGTCTCAGAGTTTAGTCAGCAGAGCCAGTTTTCGTGATGGGTCTGTCGCCCAACCGGAGCTCCTAACTCCTCAGACGCAAGAGAGTAAAATCATAGATAAATTTTACCCGTCCGCCGGCTTTTCTACTTCGGGGTATCGGTGCACCAAGTACTCCCCGGAGGAGTGGACCGAGAACAACGACGCGCTGCTTCTCCAGGCGGCAAATGATCGCGACGAGGCGCAAAAGGTGCGGCATGAGTCCAAAGAAACGCAGATGGAGACGGAGTCTGTCACGCTGCGCCGCCAGGCGGACGGGACGCGGCACCTCGGCCACAGGCTGCAGGACATCCACTTCTGGAAGTCGGAGCTGCAGCAGCACATTGACCAAACGGCAGCCGCGACCGGCTCACTGGTGGCCCTGAAGCGCCGACTGGAGAAGGCGCTGGATGCCAGCGAAACGCCCTTCAGGATCGCTGCTGATAACCTGGCTTGGCGTGAGCGCCGACTTGGTCCCGACCTGGTGAAGGACAACGTGGACGAGGAGCTGCTGAAGGTGCAGTCTGACAGAGGGAGGCGACACCCAGCCGTTTGGGCTTTAATTTCAGTCAGTTATATTTATTGTTAATGAAGCCTTTAGAAGCATTGACATATTATTATTATTATTATTATTATTGTTATTATTATTATTATGTGAATATTGGTTAAGTGGGACAAATAGTAAACTGGGACACTCATATATTTGATACTATGTATCTTTACGCATCTGTCGTCTATTAAGCTCAGTTCTTCAGCTTTCGATACTTCATTTTAAAAATATAATTAAGATCATGATTACAAAGTGAGATACAAAGTAAAATTTCAAAAACTGTTCCAATTTTACCAATATCCAATACCCAATTATATAATAATAACAACAACAACAACAATAAAGTATTATTATTATTATTATTATTATTATTATTATTATTATTATTATTATTATTATATAGAAAATGCCTGACATTTCCAAAGGGCATGCTTGGGAATACACCTGCACGTCTCAACTCCTCTGCTCACATCAGACTGTTATCGTGTAGTTTAAGGCTTTAACCTGTAAAGGTCGGTTTCTAAGTAATAAATCGTTATTTGCTTTATTCAAGGGCATGGCTTTTACAGTTAGTCACTTAGAATACGTCACAGCAGACCTCGGTAACTATAAATTCTTGTTGATAAATCGTGTGTGTGTGTGTATGTGTGTGTGTGTACAGTGGGGAAAATAAGTATTGAACACGTCACTATTTTTCTCAATGAATATATTTCTAATGGGGTTACTGAAATGAAATCTTCACCAGATGTCAGTAACAACCAAAGTAATCCAAACATACAAAGAAATCAGAACAAATTAAGTTTTGTGTAATAAAGTGAAATGACACAGGGAATAAGAACTGAACACGCTTACTGAAATTTATTTAATACTTAGTAGAAAAGCCTTTGTGGGTTAGGGTTAGAAGCTATTCACATGCATTGCTCAGGTGTGATTTTGGCCCATTCTTCCACACAGACTGCCTTCATATCTTGATGGTTCTGAGATCCTCTCCTATGAACTCTGATCTTCAGTTCGTTCCATAGATTTTCTATTGTATTAAGTCTGGTGACTGACTGGGCCATTCCTGCAGCTTTGTTTTCTCTCCCTGAAACCTTCCTTTGCCAGTGTTTTTGGGATCTTTGTCTTGCTGAAATGTCCACCCTCATTTCATCTTTAGCACCTGGTAGATGGCAGCAGGTTCTTATCGAGTTTCAGTATGTTTCTCCACTCATTCTTCGTTCAATTATGTGAAGTCTGCCAGTCCCATATGCTGAAAAACAGCCCCACACCGTGATGTTCCCACCCCCAAACTTCACTGTTGGTGTTGTGTTTCTGGGGTGATGTGCAGTGCCATTTCTCCCCCAAACATGATGTGTACTATAACATCCAAAGAGTTCAGTTTTGGTCTCATTTGACCAGACTATATTCTCCCAGTATTTCATTGGCTTGTCCAAATGTTGTGCCGCAAACCTTAAATGAGCTTCAACATGCTTTTTCCTCAGCAGTGGAGTCTTGCACGTGCATAGAGGCCATGGTGGTCGAGTGCATGACTTTTTGTTTTCTTTGAAACGACTGTACCTGCTAATTCCAGGTCTTTCTGAAGCTCTCCGCCAGTGGTCCTTGGCTCTTGGACAACTCTTTTGATTATTCTTTTGACTCCTCTGTCAGAAATTTTGCAAAGAGCACCTGGTCGTGGCTGGTTTATGGTGTAATGATGTTCTTTCCACTTCCGGATTATGGCCCCGATGGTGCTCACTGGAACATACAGAAGTTTAGAAATACATCTGTAACCAAAGCCATCAGTATGTTTTGCAACAATCAGGTTGAGAAGGTCTTGGGTGAGCATCATGAGATGCTTCTGGTGTGACACCTTGGTAATGAGAAACCTTTTTATAGGCCATCAATAAGGACTAAGCCAGCAGATATTAATTTGCACCGATAGGGGACAAGATTGCTTTCTAAATGCTGACAGATTTCAGCTGGTCTCCTGGATTTCCGAGCCTTTTTGCGCCTCCTTTTCTTCATGTGTTTAATACTTATTCCCTCTGTCACTTCACTTCCTTACACATAACTTAATTTATGGATTTATTTGTTTTGATTTCTTTGTATGTGTGGATTACTTTCTCTGTTACCGACATCTGGTGAAAATTTCATGTCAATAGCTCCATTAGAAATATATTTACAAAAAAAAATGTTCACTACTTATTTTCCCCGCTGTATGTGTGTGTGTAATTATTACACTCTGGGGAAATTTCACTCAATGTGAGAAAACCTGTAACATTTTACCCTGCGGAAAAATGTTTTCGGTCCCCACAAGGATAACCTCAATTTTATATGAATACTGTATGTGACTGCAATAAAAAAAAAAAAATTAAAAATGCCAAAAGTCTTGTATTTTGTTTGGTTACTTATGGTTAAGGTTAGGGATAAAAATAATAACTATTATTATTATTTATTTATATAACCTTTCTCACAATCAAGGATGCTTTACAATGTGTGTGTTTCTGTACATTAGTCACAAAATATTAGTCTATTATGATACCTATTGTGTTTAACACCAACAAAAAACATAAACCAAACTTAATTTTGTACATGCTAATACTCCTTAAGCCTTAATACTTCAGGGTTTTCCTAAGTAATGGATGGTTTTTTTTGTCTTCTGGAGGAGGTAGAACTTATCAGAAACGTCCAGTCTCTTCTGAGAAGAACACTGACTCAAACCATCGACCAAATACGGTGAGAACGGCTCTGTTTCCTTCAGCTGCACATGTGCAAGTTTAACAGAACCATTCGCACTTACGTATGTTAATGTCAGCTGTCAGAGCACCTGCAGGGGAATATTATAAAGATAGTTGCTCAGGGTCCCCTGGATAACATGACTGTGAAGATGGGGGGGGTTTAAGATTATCTGCATGGAGCCCCGGACTTGTACACAGCTGCTCTGTCGCCCCCAGGGCCAACCGGGAGGCCAAGAAGACTCTGGAGCTGGACTGGTCAGACAAGCGCCAGGCGTACAGCACAGACGACCAGTGCGGCCGATACACCAACGGCAGCCAGGACACTCAGCAGCACCTCAGCTCCGCTAAGCTCCAGCTGCAGTGAGGCTTTCTCCTTATACCCCCCGCTAAGCTCCAGCTCCAGTGAGGCTTTCTCCTTACACCCCCCCTACTCACAGGGGAATCACTAGAGCAGTGAGAGCTGTTAAGAGTCGTGATATTTCTGCTTCAGATATAATTCTGGGTCTATTGTTTTGTAAAATATGCGTGCGAATAGTTAGACTATGAATGTCTAAGCCATACATGGATCTGGGAGGTGTCAACCCTAGACTGAAACCTGGTGACTCCACATTGCCCGCCCCCCGTCGTATTTACATTTTCATGGCATTTTTTTTTTTCTTGTCAGGGATTATATTTTTTTTAGAGGCGGAACTTTTCTCCACAGCCGCAAGACACCTGGGAACCACTACCGGATCTATAAACAATGTACCGTTACAGCGTTTAGGTACCTTAATATCCCCTTATTTTTCAGATGCCTTATATTCATATTTAGATTTATGTGCCCCCCCCCCAAATGTCCTCTGGTCTCATCCTGGCCACCCCACCGGTGTAAACGTAGGTGTACACCGGGCTGCGACATGCCCATTTATCAAAGCAAACATCTGCGCTTTTTTTTTACTTCTGCACTGCTCACAAAAGCAAGCGCTGGGTTAAATTAACCCGTTCGATGGCAAATTGTTCCCTGCCACGACAGTGCGTGACTGATACTCCTAAAGCCTCTGCAGCACATAAACTGTGTGCCTTTGGGAAAAGGTACTGAAGTATTTTGTTCTACTATTGGTCACGATAGTGACCAATGGGAAACAGCAGAGTCAAAATTTGCTGAAGTTCTCTGCTTAGTGGCAGAGGATACAGGTCATTCTGATTTTTTAAAAGACCCTGTTTTATTTTCTCACTATGACCGTCACGTTCCGTGGCTTATTTTTCTGGCACAGTTATCATGGCGATGCCTCTTGCAGTCACTAGCGGCTTCACCTTGGTCTACAACACTGTTACTCAACCGGTGGGGCGCGACCCAGAAGTGGGCTGCAGATGCGTTTTCATTGGCTGGTGGAATGTGTGCTTAAAAGGCTTCTTATCAGACTTGCCGTGCATGAAGGCATTGTGCCACTCTTACTGCACTATTTACTATTTACTATCCTGTTTAATCCATCTGATTGTGACCACATTTTTATTTTACTTTTTAAACTCTAAAAGAGTGTCTGTTGGCTGACAGCCAAAGGACGTGCTACAGTATGATGAAAGCAGAGGTTGTCTTGATTTTTGATGGCAACGGTGCAACTTTGGATTGGGGGGGGGGGTATTATGATTAATGGGCGGTTCAACAACATGTATTCTTTGAATGGTCTACATCTGATATAGTTTGAAGATTATAGCTTATACTGCTATATGTACCTCGTGCTCACGGGAGATCGAATTTCATCTCCGGTAACAGATGAAATTCAGCTCTCACCGGTCTCTGTTTGTTTGGCTATGGATAATCCTAGCTATCATCTGATTTCTTTTATATAGTTTTTAAAAGTGTTGGACATGGTGGTTCTCAGCAGGTTTAGCCTCGAGACCCACATTTTAACTTGGTCTTTAAGTCACAACCCAAAATTTTCTACAGTTATTTCACAAAAAATAGCGCAGTAATGTTAAATTGAATAATGCATTTAGTTTAAAGTGCTCTTTTATTCTTGAGCACAAAAGTGCAGGACGACGCCGTGGAATTATAAATAAAGCCTATTGACAATCAAGGCATCCTATTCTGTTCCATTCCATTCTGAAGTGTTCTATTATGGAAGTTGGATGAGGAAGCGTCAGAGCTCTTTGCCCTCGGCGGGCGGGTTTGAGTTGAAAGGCGTTAACTTCTGTACCTGATGCAAACTGCCAGATACTATGGGCGTTATGTAATCGAAAGTCGTCCAGTTACTGAACAAGTGTGTTTTGTTCTTGTTGGAAAATTACCCAGACTTATTAACCTGACTCGTGTGGGTGTTGTTTTAAATGGCGGGTTGCTGTAATTACCTTGTAGTAGTATTGCAGTAATTAGTTCTCTCTCAAAATATTATAGTATAGTAATCCTGGACAAGTAATCGATTAATAAAAAATTACACTCCATTATTCGCGTAGGTACATTTTAATATTTCGTGTTCTCAAAACATTATTTATTTATTGATTTGCTCCCCTTTAACAAATTAATGAGACGTGAGTTGAAAACTCAACCGGGGTAGATGTTATTGTCGCTTATAAATTTAACAAAATTCCTTAAATCGGAACAATTATATTACAATAAATACGGCACCTGTTTGCATGGCTAAATCATATAAGACGAGTTTCCGTGGCTAAAGATCCGCACCTTTTAATCGCTACCTGCTTCACTGCCATTTACTCGACTTGTGCCTATTTATCCACTTGGGGGCAGCAGAGGACTAGCAATAGCGCCGAGATTTTTGAAAGTCATCCATAGTCGTTAATAAAGTTCTCCTTTAAAGCTTAAACAGTAAACATTCCCTGGACAGTTGTTCATTGCGTCCTTGTTAACCCTGCTGTAACTGTAATGTTACCATTAGATAGATATTTTAATTTATTAGAAGTTTTAATTCCATTCTGGGGTGTAACTTTTAACTATTATTTTCAGTGTATTTGCATAATAGCAGCTTTGTATTTCATTTGAGCATGTACTCCCCATGCATCACATCTTCGCCTACCAGTGGGGGGGGGGTTCCTGCAGGGGGTGCTTCGGCCTGATCGGGTACATCAGGGTGTCAGTCCATCATTGGTCATGCTCTCTACAGGTATCGCAGTCTTCAATACAGACCCCCCACCCCACATACTAATCATGTCTGACTCCCTCCCAGCCTCGTGTCCACTGCTTATTGTCCAGCCTGTTCACACCCCGCTGCCCCCCACCTTTCCGTGCATGTGGCACTGAGGGCTTGTCTCTTTTCGCTACAGCGTTACTTTTATCTGCGTGACCCCACAAAGCACCTCATGCAGGGTCCGAGGCCCAGATGCCCACTGAGGTCTGTCTTTAAAATCACTAAGCTGTCAAATGCACTTCTCTTCCATTGTGTGAGCCCTCGCATTACGAGGTGTGGATAGACCCGTTTTTTTCTGTTATGACACTGCCTAACTAGCTCCTCCTTCTCAGAGAGGCCAGCCTGCGATTGGCCGGGATACTGTCAGCTTGGTTTGAGGCATGTTGCTTTGAGGTCCCGGCATCTCGTAGGTTTACGGTGCACAGAGGTGTGTATCAATAAGCTCCTCTTCCATTCCTACCAGGATGCCAGCATCCCCTTTATAGGATTAACTCCAACCAACCAACATTCAATCATTATTGTGTTATTTTCCGCGACTCTGTACTGCATAAGCAGTTGTCATGTTTGAGAGATGGCAGGATTATGATGTGATATTTATACAGTCCCAGAAGTGCCCCTTTGTGAGACTGCTTTGATTTCGGTCAGAGCTTTCAGGCAGATAGTCCCTTTTAGGTCAGGCGCTGAGGAGTCCTTTATTTCCAAGATAGAAGCGACTTTTGTGACTTCCAAAAGTGACTTCCCAAAGTGATTTCCCAAAGTGATTTCCCAAAGTGACTTCCCAAAGTGACTTCCCAAAGTGACTTCCCAAAGTGACTTCCCATTTGCATCTCTTAGAAGCATCTCTGCATCCCCCCTCCCAGTGTGTCAGACCGTGTGACCTGGGCCAGGTTCACGCAGGACAACCTGGCGCAGGCGCAGCGGGAGCTGCGGGCCTCGGCGGAGCTGCAGCTGCTGTGCGAGCGCGTGCTGCAGGAGACCGCCGAGGACCTGCAGGCCCAGTGTGCCGCTGTGGATGCCGCCTTTGCCCACCGCTGCCAGGAAGTGTCCGAGGCCAAAGTGGCGATGGAGCTGCACCTGACCCAGGTATGGGGGGGAACAACATCACCACCAAGCGCCGCCCAGGCCGCAGCACACGCCGGGCCCTGAACCGCGGGCTGCCGGCCGGCGATGATGGAAGTGTGGCTGTGTCTCCTCTCCCCTGGCAGATCCTGGAGCAGATCGGGGCCCAGGAGCGAAACATTGCCATGCTACAGCAGGCCCTGCGAGACAAAGAGGCGCCCCAGCGGGTCACCCAGACCCGGCTGCACCAGCGGGCCCAGAGGCCCAACGTGGAGCTGTGCCAAGACGAACCCCAGCTCAGGTCAGCAGGGGGCGCCACGGGCTGGGGCAAAGGGGTTAGGAGTATTATTGTTTACCTACTGATGTTAAAAAGAATTATTATAAATATTACATATTTACAGTATGTATACGTGACTGCATCAAACCTGCTGCCCTTAGCTACGTTTGCATTAGCGAGATACATTTCCTGGTCCTGTGACTGCATCAAACCTGCTGCCCTTGGCTTTGTTAGCATTAGCGAGATGCATGTCCTGGTCCTATGACTGCATCAGGCCTGCTGCCCTTGGCTTTGTTAGCATTAACGAGATGCATGTCCTGGTCCTATGACT